CCTCTATCAAATATCATCATATTTATAGAGGAGGATTTGTGACCCTCCCCTGTTCATCCATGGACAAAATAGGAAGCTCGTGGGAAGGTCACTGTAGATAATGGAAGCACTGTACAATCATAGAATTTAGCAACTATAAGCCAAGACATGTACTGTTCAATCAAAGACTATAGATGGATATTCTCAATCCAATCAGCCCTGCAAAGTGACAAACATCTCTTTTACTGTTTGTCTTGTGATGGACGAACGGCGGGGTGGTCCCTCGATCTTTGACGTGGTTCACCATGCCTGAGATACTGGACCAATGTTTGTCAAGTAAGATGATATGACCGGTCACCTTTTTCTCAAAGGTTGACCGGTCATTTCTTGAGCTCAACCCGTCTCTTTGGTCTTCTTGAATTCTTCACAACATTAGGTGAAATTTTGGCTATCGCCCAAAATGTGACCGGTCACTTTTTTAGTGGAAGTGACCGGTCAACTTTTGACCCGTCCCAATCGAAGAGTTAACTTCATTTGGTAATTGATAAAAGTGACCAGTCATATTTTGACCTGTCCCTTTCGGTTGTCCGGGTCGGGTATAAGGATATACCCATCAAGAAGTCCTCCACTTACCGGCCTTGTGATGAAATCATCAAGGGCGGGAAGTATATTTATGTTGATCTATCACTTTTGAAATCATCAAGTCATTCCTATGATCTGTCCTTCTTTGAAATAATCAAGTCATTCCCATGACTTGTCCTTCTTTGAAATAATCATGTCATTCTCGTTGACCTGTCCTTTTAGTCCCGTCGCTTTTAGAATTATCAGACCTTTCCGTTTAGACCTGTCTTCCTCTGGAATCATCGAGTCATTCTCGTTGACCTGTCCCTTTTTTAAATTGTCAAGCCATTCCCATGACCTTTCTATGGGGACCTGCCCATTTCTTGGATTCAGCGTCTTCATATCAGACCTGGCACTTTTGGATTTGTGGAATACGCTGCATGACCTCTTCCACGTGCCTGGTTAGTGGAAGTCCAAGCGTTGGCCCTGACCCTTCATAATTTTGAATTTCCCCCCAAAACCTTTCACCTTACCATTCAAAATTCTAATTTTCCCTCCTAATCATAACCTCTTCCACGTGTCAGGCGCTCCTTCTCCCACCTGTCGCCTCGAGCTCCAAACCGCCTCTCTCTCTCCTATAAATACCCCTCCAACCCATCTCATTTCTTCACTTCTCTTCTTCGATCTTTCCACTTCAACCGGTCAGCTTTCTCTCTCTAGCTCTCTTCCAAGTAAGTGCTTTAGTCCTCCTAGTCTTTTAATTCTTCCATCTCTCCCCCTGTCACTCCTCTGATTCGCCGCCCCTCTCACCAGTCTAATTCTCAGGCCCGGGAAATAATTGCCCAGGACCCTGTCCCTTTGAATCAACTGTCCGGTCGATTCAATCCCAAGGTCCTTAGCTGGGAGCAATGGGAGGAACGACTGGGATCCTTGGGCTTCCTAGCCATTGATGTCAGACCGGTGTTCAAAGAGTCTTCTAGGGTCACCAAAAAGGTTCTGGCCGAGGTCCGTACCATCCTCCCACCGGGCTACAAAGTCCTTTCCACAACCACCTGGCCCAACATCCTTGAACCCCACCAGGGAACTCGGTTGGGTTTCCATATTGCGTCTCCGGAGGGAGGTATTATTTTTCCTCTCCGCCCCCTCCTTATTGAAATCTGTAAAAAGTTTCATATTTTGCCCGGTCAGCTTACTCCAAACGCTCACCGGTTCTTAAATTGTTTTGTTAATATCTGTGAAAATCTAAAAATCGACCCTTCCCTTGAGCTTTTCCTCCACATGTACGAAGTCTTGCCCGGGACTAGTAATTGCCCGGGCTTTGTTTATTTTCATTCTCGTAATAAGAATAGTTTTGTGACCGGTCTTCCCCCTAGCCACAAAAGATGGAAGAAAAGATTTGTTTTTGTCGAATTCCCCCTGACCAATTTCCTTTCTCTAACCCTGAGTGGGCTGACCGGGTTATAAAACCTAAAAGGGTTCATCCGGAGCCCACCAAAGATCTTGAGGACGCCTGCGAGAAACTTCTCAAGGGTGATCCTGTGACCGGGAAACCTTATGCCTATGGAGGCTGGGTATTCCGGCTATCTAATCCGGATGGGGGTGAATCTGCGACCCATGACGTAGAAGATGACCGGGCAAACTCCCCGGATGGTCATGCTGAGGCCAGTTCTCCTCGTCCAGGTCGATCATCTTCCCTTAACCTTCTTAATTTCATTTTCTTTATTTATGTACAAGGCTCGAAAAATAACCGATCATCTGTTGCTTTGTTCTTTTTCAGACATGAACTTCAACAGGATGACCACCTTCATCGAGGATGACGACGATGATGTCCAAGTCCTCCACTCCAACCGGTCTCCCAATCGCAACCCTCCTTCTCCCCCTCAAAACCCTGGGAAGGAAGGGGCTTCATCTGCCCGGTGCACTCCCATCGACGATCTCATCCGAGATAAGAAGGTGAAGTCCCCTTCGGTTACCCATCTCTTCGAAGATGACCGGGTTAATTCTTTCCAGGCCCAGTTCGAATCCAAGTCCAAAGATACCGGCCACTCTTCTTCCCACGCTAAGGGCCAGAAAAGGAAGGGCTCCCATAAGAGTTCCAAAGGGGGCAAGAAGAAGAAGACCGGGTCGCTTGACTTGGAAGGGGAGTCGGTTGAAGAAGCCTTCCTTGCATTGACCAGAAGACTCCAAAAAGTATGCCATCTCTATTTTTTCGCTCGGTTTAATTATTAGCCCGGTCTCTAACTGACAAACTTTTTTTCTAGGTTGGAGTCCTTTCTGAAGAGATTGGTCAGTCACTCATCGAGCCAACCAACCAGGCCTCCCAACTGAATCTCCTGCTTGACTCGGCCAAATCAGAAATAAATGACCTGGTCGAGAGGGAGAGAAGGTTAGAAGTAGAGGTGAGGGCTGAGAGGGCCTTGCTGGAGGAGGAGAGGGCCAGATCTGCCCGGTTGGAGGAGGAAGGCAAGAGAAAGGTCGCTGAGCTTGAAGAGGCGTTGGCCCAAGCTGAAGAGACTTCCCGGTCAAAAGAGGAGGCCTTTCCTGATGATGCTGCTATTTGGGCCGCCTGCCATCACACTGAAGTTGCCCGGTCCATTCTCACCAATCCGGAGGACACCATGGATTTTTTCAAAGTCATGTATAAGGAACCGGAAGGGAAGAGAATGATAACAGATGTCGGGTCCTATGGGTTTCAGTGTGGCCAAAAGGAAGAGAGATCTCTTTTCTATGCCAGACTCCAGAGGAAGGACCCTTCTTTCGACCCGGCCAAATTGAAGCTTCCAGCCCTATACATGGAAGAGCCAGCTCCCCCCTTTCCCCTTGAGTAGGTCAGGGTATGTTTTCAAACACTAAATTTTCCCAAGGCCTGGGGGATGTCCGGCCTACTTTTGATTTGTATGAAACTTAAATCCTCTTGGCATGCCTTTATCTTTTACCGGTCGATCTGCTTCAATTTGCATGGTTGAACTTCTTTTCTATGCATGGTTATTGTTTCTTGCATGATAGCTTTTCTTTTCTTTTTCTTGATCGCCTTTGAATGAACTTCCAAGTCAATAAAACTAACCGGCCTTATACCTTAGGAATCGTTTTAAAGAACGTCCAGGCCATCTCATGTCCTGGTCTTGAAAACGTCCAGGCCTCATTGGCTTGGTTGACAATTTTATTGATTCAGCTTGATTCCAAGTCAAAAGAAGTAACCGGCTTTATCCTTTGTAGTTGTCCAGGTCACCTCATGTCCTGGTCTTTGATTAACGCCTTAGAAATGTCTAGGTCTGGTAGGCTTTGTTGACAGCGTCCAGGTCTTTTCATGTTCTGGTCAATTCCATCTCTTGAAAATGTCCAGGTCATGTTATGTCCTGGTCAAGTACAAGCCTTGAAAACATCTAGGTCTTGCAACCTTGAAAACGTCCAGATCTTGTAGCCTTGAGAACGTTCAGATCACTTTATGCCTGACTAGTCTTCTGGACCGGCTTGTGTCTAGGTTGAACTGCAACAAACGTCCAGGTCATCTCATGTCCTGGTGTAGTAGGCTAGGTTGGAAGTTTTGAAGACCACCTTAGACGCAAAGGCTTGAAAACTTCCAGGTCATCTCCTGTCCTGGTTTCTTGACTTGAAAACGTCTAGGTCGGTTTCTTCCCCGCTTGTCTTCTGACCCAGTCAACTTCCAGGTTAGAATGTGACAATCGTCTAGGTTGAATTCTTCCTGACCAACTTCTAATGGCTTGGTTGCAATATGTAACCAGCATGACGTCAAATTTCCTGTCCAGGTGCCGGGTCAAAAATGTGACCGGTCAAAAAATATTTTTTCCAGATTTGTCTGATTTCATCAAATCCGCCAACTAAAAAGTGACCGGTCACTTTTCTCAAAGTTGACCGGTCAAATTTTAATTTTTTCCCATTCGCATTTTCTTGTCAATCCAGAACATCAAAAAGTGACCGGTCACTTTTGACCATGCCACCTTCTTTTCCCCCTCTGGCCTGGATGTCATGCCTATCAGTAACCTTGCTCAAACATCGAACGAATAATCCGAATCGGTTTTGGTATCATCAAGTCTCAACATCAAGACCCGAACTTTCTTCGGAGATTTTGACCATGTCCTATGATCGCGAACCCTCTCCAAGGTTCAGCCCTCTTCCAGGCAACACCCTTCTTCCAGGGCCCCTCTTCCAGGTTTTAAGTTTTTAATGTGCCATTCTCTAATCATTAGGTTGACCTAGCCAACCCAATCTTCCCACGTGGGGGTATGCCGGTGAGAACCAGCCCTCATCCAATCTTACATGTCCATATGTTATGCGTTTGAAGTGAATTCTAGTCTTCCCTAGACCCTTCAATCCGCAAAGGATGGCTCATGCAAGACGGTAATCCTTTTTTACTTTGGCATCTTTTTGCCCCTATCCAAATGAAAATTTGGTAGGGATCCATGTAAGTATGGACGCGAGTCCTCTTCCAGACCCAGCCTATCTCAAGGCCATACCTCAACATCAAGGCCCCTATCTCAAGGGTTTATATATATATATATATATATATATATATATATATATATATATATATATATATATATATATATATTGAAAGGTTTTGACCTTGCCTCTTACATCAAGAGATTAGTTTAGTATTACTGACCCAGCAATACAAGTATTGAAGAAATCTCTTATTTATCATCGAAGGGGTATTACAAATACATGCCCTGCCAATTTGGTCTATCGGTAGAATTTTCTAAGGTGGTGGGAATTCCAACACCTTTCTAACTCTCGACCTTCCATTGTTTCTAACTTGTATGTCCCAGGGCGTAATATTGCTGCGACCCTATATGGGCCTTCCCATTTCTTTGCAAGCTTTCCACCATCACCCGGTTTGCTAGCCTCCCTTCGTCTCAGGACCTCATCACCGACTTGGAAATAACGAGGCCCTACCTTGTTATCATGGTAGGCCTTGGCTGCTTGCTGGTACTCTATCATTTTAGCCTCAGCAACCATCCGCCTTTCCTCCAACAAGTTCAACTCTGCCAAATGGTCCTCCTCATTCCCTTTCTCTTCATAGACCTTCTCCCGAAAGGTCATTATTTTAGCTTCGATGGGTAGTCTGGCCTCACACCCATATGTAAGGACGAAGGGTGTCTCCCCTGTGGCCCTTCTTGAAGTGACCCGGTAAGCCCAAATGATATGTGGCAACTCCTCTAACCAATTCGTTCCTGCCTCACCCAACCGCTTTTTGATCCCATCGACTATTGTGCGGTTCGCATTCTCCACCTAGCCATTCCCTTGCGGGTAGGCCACGGAAGCCTTATTGTGAGTAATCCCGAAGTCCTCCAAGTATTTAGTGAACCCTGGATTCCGAAATTGAGGCCCGTTATCCGTCACAATGTTTCGGGGTGACCCGAACCGAGTGATGATGTTCTTCCAGACAAAGCGCTGGCACTGCTTGGTTGTGATGGTTGCATATGCCTCGGCCTCCACCCATTTTGTGAAGTAGTCGATAGCGACCATGACATACTTCTTCCTCCCTTGAGCTTGAGGGAAGGCCCCAATGATGTCCATCCCAAACCTTGCGAATGGAATAACATTGGAAACTGGGTGGTAGTATGTTGCAGGCCTTCCCGGAAA